TTCGTCTTCGGAGAATTCGTCTGCGGAAAGCGTCTTCGGGGTCTAATCCGTCTTCGGGGGCTAATTCGTCTTCGGAGAATTCGTCTGCGGAAAGTGTCTTCAGGGTCTAATTCGTCTTCGGGGTCTAATTCGTCTTCGGAGAATTCGTCTGCGGAAATCGTCTTCACATTGCGGGAGGAGAGGTGGCTGTGCTTGAATGTGTCTTCGTAATGTGTCTTCGTCTGCGGGTGGAAAAGTGGGACCCCCACAGCGGCTGCAATGCACTTTCGGCCCCCTTTCCGCTCCCTTCCGCTCGGCCGAGCAGCACACCGGGACTGTCGACCCCGATTCAGGTGCCCGATGATGCCAAAGTAGGTGCAGTTTCCACCCGGAGTGTCTCAGTCGAATTCGGATGGTCGCTGGGAGTAGTCCTGGAGTCCCCAGCGCGTCCCTTCAGATGGGGAGCTGCGTGCCTTCGAAGAAGTTCGGATTCTTCGTACAAAAGGAGTAGTGAAGTTATATGGGGATGTCCTTGATCTTAGACGAATCAGTTCGTGTGTCTGTGTGTGAGATGTCCAAGACATTGGGCAAAACAAGACCAGCTATATCTAATTGTTTAAAGTACATCAAAGCTTTTCTGTGAGCTGTTCAGCTTTGATCAAAATATATATATATATATATGTATACAGAGATTATAGATCTGAGATATGACTAGCAGGAAACATGAACGTGGAGACTCTGCATCTCCCACCAACACACCAGCACTTGAGAGGAAAGTCGAACCTCTGAAATGAAGAGACTGCAACCCTCCATCTGCAACCACAGAAACTGGCTTCCATGGAGGAGCACCAATCAGCACATTGCTGAATAAAGCCTGACAGCATGTCTTGCAGTTGCAACCGCTGACGAACGCGCGATCGATCCATGTTCGCACCTCTGGGCCCCAAGCCACATCTTTTTCGGGGTACCCGGTAGGGGGAGAGTATGTAGGTATGCTCAACCACGATATAAGACTCGCCACTTGCGTCCCCACCACATGTACCGTTCCCGGAATAAGCCACGGATTGTACCAACGGTGAAGCAAATGAAAAGCGAAGCATCTTCAACCCTGAACAGGACGGAAAATGGATGGAATCGATTGATTGCTTGTTGCGTAAGCAATTCTTCACTTTTTGATAGAGGTTTTGACTTTTTGCGAATCACATGGCGGTATAAGGCGAATCACACACAGTTTTGTGAGAGGATACCAAAACAATGTCAAGACGAACGTTGAGCGGAAATTGCTGATCATGCCACACACTACGGGGCTTCGGGTTTTTTGAATTTTGGCCTCTGGAGAATCAAATGCCGGGCATGTTTCTTCTCGTCACTCTAATCCATGTGGAGGAAGAATCGTTCGTTGACACCCATGCTCACATTCGAAGTAGCTCAGCAGACGAAACGTCTTAAAGGACCAAAACTCCTGGAGCACGACCCATGTGGGGCACGCAAGCTCTCGCAGCTCTCGCCTCCCATCTCCACCCTCTCGCCCCGGGATTCTCGCCTCCCATCCGGTAGCCCATTAGGGTCCATTCGCTATACCACCGGTCTCCTGAGCGCAAAAACGAGACGAGGGATAGACTTGCCAGGCTTACCCCTTTCGAACCCAACCATGGTTTTCTCCAACCATGATCCGATCCCAGAATCGGAAACTGCAAGGACACTGTGATGTCTGAGGGCAAAACAGTGACGTCAGTTGAGCCTTCACGGTTTGATGAGAAAAGGGGTCATCAGCCGAGTCCCTTGCTCTTCGCGACGGGTGGTCGTGTGCTTGCGAGAAACAAAAAGGGCTGAGAACCAACCCTTCACGGTGACTGGTGGCCGACCTCACCGCTTCACGGCTTTCGGTGGCTGAAACCTCCGTAGCTCCATTTTTTCGTGGAGAATGGTGAGTGGCTTGTCCTCGACCCTGGCAGGTGAGGAGCACTATGACTGTGAGGGTCAAAAAAGATCAGCAAATCGTGCTGCTCAAAATTCCGAATCCCTGCTGAAAGCGCCGCAGCCTCTCATATGTGGTCCCAGCGCAATATATGAAACGAAAAAGAGAAGCCCCTGAATGGGACGTGACCAGGACTTGGCCGTGTGCTTTATATAAGTTCGACTAACCAAACCTCCCAAGGATGAGTGTGTGTCTTCCTGCTTTTTGCAATGAAAAGTTGAAGATCTGCCTCAAGGAACTGCCCAGTTGGCACAGCTGAAGAGCTCAAACATCCTGATTTGGGAGTTGCTTCCAGGAAAAGGTTCCAGTTTCCTGCACTTGAAGGTCAACTCCACCTGGAGGTGGATAGACCCATTGCGATCCCTTGTTCATGGCACATAATCTAAAGAGTCCTTGAATACACATGGAGACTGCCAAGAGGCCTGCGCAGCGAGTGCGCCCATCGCCATAAAGCAGTTTCCAATTGGGTCCTGCGAATGGTTGAAGTTGCCCCCCGACATACAACCACCCATTTTGCGATTCGTTGTCCCAGTTTCAGAGTATCATTCATACCTCGGCTTCAGGTATATAGATGTCCCTTGACCGGCCTTGGCTCGCGAACTCCTGGAGATATTTTCCAAGCCACATGTTGAGTTTGTACACTCCTGGCAGAGCGTGTTGCGAATGCTAGGAATGGGGGCATCCATTCGTTGCGCCTTGGCTCTTGAAGCCGACTCGGACTCAAACCCATGTGGGCTTGAAGAGGACCAAGATGGGCATCGGTCATGGTGGAACTCTGGACCATTTCAGAGTGCACTTCCTGGGAGGTTCACGCACATTGTTTTAAGGGGTTCTAAGTTACTCTCATCTATCCGGCCCCTTCTCTCATCTATCGGGCCCATTTCTCTCATCTATCGGGCCCGGTGCTGAAATGTGACTCTCATGTTTAAGACAAATCCTCCAGTCCAAGCGCAGATCCCACATCAACCTGTGTAAAAACCTCGAAACTCGTCCCAGCCCTTCCGCAAACCGAAGAGAGTGTTCTTCCTTTCCCCAGACCAACGCGCGGCGCGATGTTCGCGCGAAACCCCAAAAACGCCTCCGGTGGTGTCCGGATGCCAGGTCCATCCCGGGTCTCGTGTGGTCATCCTGAGACCGTGGCGGTTGGGGGATCCGGAGACGCCCCGGAACCGGTGGAGCCGGCGGCACCACGAGTCGAACACCGGTGGAGCCGGTGGGGCGGGTGGAGATTGCTTGGGGCGGTATGGAGCGGGGCGAAGCCGGAAAGGAGGTGCCATTGGGGAGGGTGTTGGGGAGGTCTTGGTTTGGACAGTCAAAAGGCCTGAGACAAAACCTATGTGCCATGTCCGAGTTCATACCGACCACAACGGAAGCTTTGATGCAAGAAAAGGAGCTTTGATGTGAGTGTGAGAAAAAAAAAAGAAGGCCTGGGGTTCATTCAGGTCTTGCTCCTATCACAAGCAGAAGAATGTTCTTGGCAAAAGCCGTCCGAGTCCAGGCGCAGGCTGTGCCTGTAGGGGAGTTGTTCCTAGCACTGCCCTCCAGTGGCATCATCTTGCTGGAGCAAGGACACATGGATGTCAAAGGCCACCACTCAAAGCACCAAGCTCAAAGATCTGGTCGTTTTTCTCACCATGATCAGGTTTCCCTTTTAGACAAACAACAATCTAGTCCTAGGTGCAACACGTGTTTGCTGGTTTCTCGACTGGTTCTCAATCTGTTGAAGCCCATTTCTGGGAGTCCATCTTTTTGTTCGGCCCAAACGGCAAGAGAAACGATAGCGGTGCCATCTGGCCGTCCCAAGTTTCGTGCCATCTGCCTCGACATCTCCACACCAGTGGCAATGGCGGCTCTCGCGGCGGAAGTCGAAAAATCTGCAGTTCATAAAGAAGCAGTTCTCCGCGCATTCCTGGAACAAGCACCACCACTACACATGTTGCTGAATGCCAATACACATGTTGCTGGAGCTCTAGGGAAAAGATTGAAAAAGGCGTTGGGGTTTGGGGTGGCAGCAGAGGTCGTGCCGCTTTGGCTGGTGTTGGTCCACAAATGACAACCAATATCCGCTTTGTTGTGGAACATGCTCCATACTCACCTGCCCTGACTGTCTAAATCCAGGCAAGTCGTGACCTCAGTGACAATTGCTGTGGTGACAACCATACGATCGCCTTTCCAAGCACTGAACTTACCATCATGGCTTAAGGAAATGTTCCTTTCAACAAACCCGAACACTCACCAAATCAGTCAATCTCGGTTGCCTGTTCCCTTCCCAAAACAGTCGGCACCTTTGGCGCCCACTGTATGAAAGGGGTGCAGGGGGGGGTGCAGGGGTTTTATCGCCGTGGCGGGACCGTCCAAAGTGTCCGGCGCCTCTAGGCTGCTGGTGGGACGAAGCCAATGGCGAGCTCCATTGCAAATGTGCCCAGGCTGTTGAAACCTGGACACGACCGCGTCCATCGTGGGTGTCGCGCAGTTCGTGATCCGGATCACCCCGAGCTGCGAGCCCACGGAGGTCTCGCCCGGGAAGAGGGAGGCAATGAGGACAAAGTGCAGAAAGCGATGGTTCGAGACTCAACAAGTTCTGGTCACAGTACTTTTGAGAAAGAAGTGTACAAATAAAAGCAAGAGCTCAAATTAAGTGAGCAGCGAGGTGTCGACTGGTGGTCTGCTGAAATCAAGGAGAGCTCAACGGCTTATAGGCTTCAACCGGTTAGAGGAGTGCAGTCGGAAACTTGTCTCAGCCAAGCTTCTCAGTGTAGGCCATGATGTCCCAAGCTTTCTTGGTCTTGCGGCCCACAGTGGCAACCGTCGTAGCATTCCTCAGTGCACCCAGAGCTGGCATGAGCTTGCCCGCAACTTCTCACACTCAAGCCACAAGGACCATTTTCATGGTCAATCCTCCCATTCTCCCTGTCGCCCACCTCACCCAACCGTTCCCCAACCGCCTACCCGAAATCGAGGTCCCGCTCCGGTGAAGGCTGAACCGCCCTCGACGGACAGAAATCCCGAAGAGAGCGGCTTCTTCGACTGGGACTCCGGACCCAGAGAACGGGCCGATCCCCTCAGCAGCTTCCCAAGCCTCGGAAGAGAGCTCGTGGAGCGAAGAAGGGGAAGAAGGGTGGGTCCTGTAGGCGACTGCCGGGTGCACAGGTGGAGCGAACCAGCCAAAAATGGAGTTGCGATCTCAAATGATCGAAGGTCCTTCAGTCCTTCAAATCGACCTCCTAAGACCGCCTGTGCTGGAACGAATCCCATTCTTTAGCTATCAACTTGAGAGAGGAGGGGGTGAACGAAAGGTAGCAGGCAATCCTGGTAGAAGTCCATGACGGCGTCAAAGGTGGATGGATGTGACCCGGCGCAGGGGGGGCAATGATGAACAGAATCATTACTTACAGGACCAATTTGAAAGCACAATCCCAACTCCAGATTGTAATACATTTTTGCTAAAGCAAGGAGAACTCAGGTAGCTCAAGCTACCTTTCGTGAATAGTCTTGGAAAAGCTTGGCAAAGTGGATGAACAGGCTTCGATTAGATGATATGGAATGAACATGATTTGACCAAATCTTCGGGAGATCTGCTGGAAAAGTATGTGCCAAACTTGAAAAAGCTGGAGGTCCTGTTGATGGCACTGTGACCATCGCACAAAGAAAGGTCCACGAGTTTTAGGGACAGACGCACGCACACACAAATCCTCTTGTGGAAAGTTAGTGGGTCGTTAGTGCTTGTCTTGTTAGTGCTTGTCTTTCCCAGCAATGCGTGTTTGTCTTTCTCAGCCCGCGGCACTCACTCCCTTGATCTGGGTCCACAGCGAGACCAGGCGAAACCAGTCACTCTCTGACATGGCCGAAACCATTTCAGTCGTAACGACCCGAAGACGCTGCCCCCTCGGGCCCGCACCGCTGCCCAACTTCCGACCGCTAGGCGCTTAGGCCAGTGGGACGGGCGTTGAGCAGTCGCGCCGGGTGTGCACTGCAAGACCTGAGAGCTGAGCAGCTGAGAGAGAGATCTTAGAGATCTCAAAATAGGCCAAACTGGTGGATCTTGATGGTCAATCTTCAACAGTCCCTGGCTGGATGTGATGGCTCGTCTGTGCTTCTTTCCCGCACCAGGTTAGGTCGGATCCCTTCACAACAAGTCGAGACCGCCAGGTCTCGCCCAGCCGTGCCTGCGTGTTCCCCAAATCCTCAATGTCCTGGCTTTGGTGAGAGTCATGTGAGTGTCATGCGCGCAGTGCGCTGTTTTTGGTCCAATGTTCGACTCTGAGACCTCTGACACTGGACACTGCCTGTGCGTTTTTTTCTTTCAGCGAAGGATTCTCCATCCCTGTATATAATCCTAGGATTCAAACACTACACCACCAATTCAGCCGTTCTTTTAATGGTCTTTGAAGGCTAGGGATAATATACATCTGGTCCTGCAACTCCCAAAACTCCGGCACCCTTCGTGCCCCAAACCCGTGCTTCGGCGACTTCGGGTCCTCAACGATGCAAGGCACACCGTCAAGGAGCACCTTGCCAGGAGCAGCCCACCCGTGGGACTTGAAGCCCATGCAACGGGTGAGCCGAGTAGAAGAACGGAGGAGCGGGGCCCAAAGCACATTCTACTCGGGTCAATGCTTGAAGCCTGATAGTTCTGAATTTTTGTTCTAGTGCATCTGAGGTCTCAGTCAAAGGCCCTATCACCTCTCCCCCTTCACCTCCCCATCTCCCATTAAAAAAAGTTACAGAAAAAATCGTAAAGACTCCGCCCCATATACATGCAGCCTGCACAGCAAGCTTACGGCACCTCCAAAGCGCGCACAACCAGCTTGACACCAGCACCGGCACCCTGTCTCGACAGTGCACATTGGCTGACAACACCGGCAGCGGTACCAGCATCCGACCAGCGCCGCCGCCCGTCTCAAACGCGTGCTCAGCCAGCTCACAGCACCAGCACCCAGGACCACAACACCACACCAGCACCGACACCCTCTCGAAAGCGCGCACCTCCAGCTGTCTCCAGCTCATTCTTATTTGAAGTAAGAACCCCATAGGTATCGCTATCTGGGGAAGAACAGCGTATGATCTTGTGTGTACAAGTTTATGCGCACAAAAGTATGACGCAAACAGCAAAGCCCGTAAGTGTCACTGGCCCAAGGCCAAGCAGTATCCAGCGCCACTATTGACGTTGTAGCATGCTTGAAGCAACGATCTGTAAAACGATAACACCGTGTATGATCTTGTGCGTACAAGTCTATGCGCACAAAAGTATGCGCACAAACAGCAAAGCCCGTAGGTTTCACTCGCCCAAGGCCAAGCAGTATCCAGCACCACTATTGAGTCTGTAGCATGCTGAAACAATGGTTGGTTGAGAGCCTGACGTTGCGCATATAACTTTGTGCGTACAAAAGTATGCGCGCAAACAGTACAGCCCTTGACACAGCCGTCGGCCAAAACAGAACCTGAAGAGTGTAAATGCCCCACAGCGCCAATAGACAAAGAACGCTCAAGCACAGGTACCAGCACCGGCACCCAGCACCGGTACCCTGTCTCCACCACACCCACAGCCAGCTCACGGCACCCAGCGCCAGCACCACAGCCAGCACCAACACCCAGCACCAGCACCCTGTCTCGAAAGCGCGCACAGCCTGCTCATTGTTATTTGAAGAATATAAGAACCCCATAGCTGTCGCTATCGGGGAAAGACCGCCGAACCACGTTCTCCCACCCAAAAACGCGCTTCTCCCCCGTCATCGCACCTGATGCCGTCCGGCAAAATCGCCTTTGCCGATGAAGACGCCGTCGGCCTCCACGAAGACGGGTGCTCCTCCCAGTCTTCCGACCTCCATCGACGGGTTTTGGGCGTGTGAGAACTCGTCAGGTGCTCCAAGAGAAAAAGGCTCTCGAGTTCGGTCCAGGAACGTGCTTTGGGATGGGCTTCCCGGTTCCTATCACCCCCAGGGAGGGTAAACGGAAGTGGTGGGTTGGCTTGGGGCATGACTTGCCGGGTGGTTTGGAGGAAAGGCCTTATTGTTTGGGTCTCGGCAGTTTGAGTGTGCTCTCAGTCTTTCCAGTTTGACCTAAGGGCAAAAACATAGGTGCCAAGGTCTAATTGCCGATGCATAGGTGTGACAAATTGCCGAGCCCGGGCTCGGATGCAAAAATCACAGAACGACGCAAGACTTGCAAAATTCCGGAGGAAAATGCTGACGCTCCTTGAACTTCCGTACCTGCCACGAAAATGCCAAGCTCCTGTCCCGCCTGCTTGGTCCTCAAGGAATGCATCGTTGGATACACCTGACATGCTCATAGCTTGAGAGGAAGAAGAAGAAGAAGAAGCAGGAGGAGGAGGAGGAGGAGAAGAAAGAAAGATCTTTCCTCTGTAAGATTTGTGCAAACACATGAAAACATGAAGCTTCGCCATTATGCGCACACTCCCCCGTTCCTCTTGTTCACAAAGAACGACGAGTGAGGCATCCCCGCGTTCCCCGCGTTCCACTCTCAGCAAGCCACTCAGCTATATCTTTTGAAACTCTTTTCGCTCAACGCGATCTTTCCAGTGAAACCATTGGGCAAAATTTGCCCCACTGAACAATCCATCGGTGAAAAGCACCAAGGTGAAACGAAATCTGCTGAATTCAACATGCAAATGTGTGAGCTTCAGGTATCCTGAATGTTTTCACAAGATCCCAACTCAGCTCACTTTTCACACCTAATCTACACCTATCTCTACTCCTAACACCTATTTGCATCCATCCACCCTACTCCGCCCCCGCCTCCAACACATTGGGCATATGCGTCCGGTGCGGCGGCCGCAGCAGCCGCTGCTCCGGCTCCTCCGCCGCCTTCACCGCCGCCGGCACGTCGCTCTTCAGCGAGTCGAAGCCAGACAGCGGCATGGGCCCCGACCCGGCGCCCGCGGTGGCGCTCGAGGCGGTGCGCGGCTCGGTGGCAGGGGCCCTAGAGCCCACCTGAGGGGGTTGAAGAAGCCACACGGGAAAGGAACTGCTTTTTGGGTGGCTTTGTTGGTGATTTTTGGGGGTTGATATAGACTTGGTACTTTATGAGCAGGAATGGAAATGCGGGCGACCCGTGGGTGAGGGTCGAGGCTGGTGAGGCTGGTGGCTGGAGAAAGAACTGTTTAAGGAGAGTGTTTTTCACTTGAGATTGCGTGAATGTCTTGCTCATGCATGCCTTCAACGGATTCAACAAATGCTTGCGTCTAGTATCTGCCGTGAGTGTGAACCCTGTGAATCCAAACACGCCCAGCCTCCAGTGGTTTGGCTTCAACATACTCGTTCTCTAGAAGCCTGACAGCGCAGAATCGGATGTCTCAGCAGATCAATCGTATGTCTCGTTGATCACTCGGTGTGTTGTTCTGCGATCGAAGACGAGATGCCACCCCCCTGGCTGCATCGGACGAGAGGTTCTTCCTCCAGGGCACTCGTCCACTGCTCCGTTGTTCGAATGCTCCGTCGGGTCTTGGGGGTGTGTTGTCATGATGTTTTGCCGGGCCGAAATGGTCCCGAAATCAAAGAACCCCAAGTTCATGGGCATGATTTGCTTTCAATGCCGCATGCCTGACATTTCCCAGTCGTTTTTTCCCTGGTCTTCCCCCATCTTCGGTGTCCTCTGGAGACTCTCCACTCGCAACAGCCCAACAGAGGGAAAAGAAAGACTACCAATGAGTTGATCCAGAAAGGTCCACCTCTGTTCCGACACCGGTTCCTTCCTTTTTTGCGTTGGAACCGACACCGGTCCATCTGGAAATCGCCACCTCCCCTGCTCAACGAGGCGCTCGTTGGTGGTCTCCACAATCTTCGCCACATCCATCGAGCTGTGCGGAACGCCCTCCGCGCCCACGTCATCCATGTTGGGCACACGCCGAGGGCTTTGCCTCATCCGCTCACCTGCACCGGCGCAGTTCGGCGCGAGGTCTGCTCTTTTTGGCGGCGCGGAGCCATAAAAAAGAGACATGCGGCACTTCTTCTTGCGCGCAACCAATGATACTTGCTTGGACGATCAGCCCAGGAGTGAGCTTCCTTTGAATGGATGGTACTTGGCTTTCCAAAATGTTGGAAGCCAGGCAGCCAAAATGTTTTTGGTCGGACCCCAGGACACCCCAACACACATCGTGTCACACATCCAAACCACACCGAAACTTGGTCCCCTCAGCGTTTGGACCGTGCGGTGCGGACCGTCGTTCGGCCGCGGTCGAGACCGCGGTGGACGTGGAAGTGTTTGGGTCGAAGCCAGATGGAAGTGTTTGTCTACTATGTAGAAGATCGAAAAAGATCACTACACAAACAGAAAACGAGCAATGCACAGGAGGGTGCGCTGGTTCCTCCAAAAACAGAGTGCCTCTTCTTTGCAAGGGCTCATAAAAGAGCCCGTCACGCAACCAACAGCTACAGCTCGCCAGCATGACGATGCCCTGTTGAAATTTTTTGAGGATCCAAGTATAGGCTAGGCTCGAAGGGGGGCGCGCCGATACGCGGCTCCAAAGAGTGCAACGAGGTCCTGTTGACCGAACTGCAGACTGCTGAGGTCCTGCCTGTTGCGAAGTTGTGGTAGTACTTCACCTGAACAGCACTCTGCTCAGCCAAAGTAAACGGATATGTGACATGTGGCACATGTGGATCTGTGAACGACCTGTGGCTTCATTTAGAAGTCAGGGGAGGATGGAGCACCCGTGGATGTTTCTAAACCCAAGGCTGCAACCGCTGTATCCCTGGCCTTCCAAGACAATTAAAGTGGTTGACCTGGTTCTGTAGTGTAAAATCCTTGGTAAAACAATGGTTGTTCGGTAGAGCCCATTAACTGATGTTGCTTGGAATCCTAGGGGTGTGCTTGGCAGGTGTTCACTACCTGCTATGGACCCTGGCCCTACCCCTCTGCTATTCACTCTCTGTCTCCTCCAAGTGACCCCTCTGGCATCGTAAAAGGGATGCCAATCTGTGCTCAAAACAGATTCATAAGCAGCATCGTCAAGAGCGGGGATCTCTTCTGGCTGTACTGCGATCTTCTTGACCCTCTCCTTTGCAAACTCTGCATAGCGATTGTACCTCACTGAATCCAGACACATAGACCGCACAAAAACAGTCAGAGGAATGGAAATCTGACGTGCTGAACACCTCGAGTAGATCTACTTGCCATCCGACTGAGAAGACACGGGTCGTCTTGGTCATGTCTATTCTCCCTTTGACCTCAACCACCTGCAAAAACTGCCCATCAAGCACACAGCTTCCCAAAAAAGAGGCCAGGTGTGCACACGATACCCGATCAGATCACCGCTGCCCAGAAAAATGAGTTGAAATGTCATTGTCAACCTTTTGACACAGCTGTTCATCTCCGAAATGGCCCTGTCTGAGTTTTTACACATGTTCATTCACTTCAAAAATCAAGCAAGGCACTGCTCCACATAGTTGATTCTGCGTGGTTGGTTTTCTTTGCCATCCAGCGGAAGCATTTTGATATGACTCATCGCATAGCACTTGTGGCACAAGGACTTGTCTGTAAAGGTACAATGTATCCTGAGAATTCGATGAAGCTTTGGAGGTGCGCAACTGGTCAACATCCACGGGATGAAGGGCAGGTTACACACTTGTATCACTATTTTGTGACAACAAGCAGGACATCGTGAGGGCAAGTCATTCATTGGTTAGATTGGGTCATCGTTGCAATTGTTTTCACCATGGTGTCTACCTTGTTTCACCGAGGTGCTTGGCAGGGAGCTGGACACAAAGAGCACAGGGCACCAGACAGAAGGGCGCATGCTCCTTGCGAGAGCCCTTGCTATGCAAATCCGCATAGCATTTGAGGCAAAGGTAATCCTGAGAAGGTTGCAGGGTCTAACTGTCTAACACAAGAATTCGCGAGGAATGATCAAACAACGGGCCATAGTGTTGGGTTTGTTGGGTATGCACATGTTGGGACAGCCTGACAATCTCCGTCAGTCCAACCGGTGTTATCGGTGTAACCGGTCTTTATAGCGGGTGTAGTCGGTGGTTACACCGGTGTCATCAGTGTTAAGTGTGATCGATGTTTGTAGCCAAATGGTGGGACACGACACTGACCCGGCCAGTCGGTGTAAACCGTCTCCGTCTCCCATTCTTCGTCCTCCCCCAGTCCGGTGCTTCCCGGGCTCTTTGCATTCCAAGCAAAAGCTCAAGGCCACGATTTTGCCTTGGAACAAAAACCGGTGCTTTGCACAGAAAGGCCAGCCTTCCCAATTGGGCCAACTCCCCGCAGGTTTTTTTGGCCTGGAGGCCTGGAAACGTCGCCAACACACAAAATACAACATGTGGAAGACGGTTTCTACACCCAGGTGCAATCTGCTTTCCACAAACACCCATGTTGCTAGTTCAATCAGAACCGTGTTGGGCAACTTCATGGCAGCAAAAATGGTCTTGATCCACCTCCGCATGCCGATATCGTCCGTATCAATCGCAAGGTTTGAAAACTCGGACTCTTACTTGCCCAGCCACAATTGACGCAATACATTTCGCCCGCAGCGAGCTTGTTCAGGTCAAACTTCACGTCATCTTTGACCTCTCAGTGGCTTTGACTCAAGTGCATCGACAACAAGAAGGCCTTTTTGTAATTGACGAAACCAATGTGAGCTAGGTTGGAGGCCATTCACTATTGGGTTGGAGGCCATCGCTAGTAGGTTGGATTGAGTAATGAAGGGCCATTCACTGTCATCAAAAATGAGAGTTTTGCTCCACTCCTTCAGTCCGGAGCTTGGGAAAGGCTTTCACCGCCATGGTTCAGTCCGACGCCACGACGTTCTGTTTTGCCACACGCCACACGCGCCTCGCTGGACCAATGGGTGACCATCTCGCTGTATTTGGCCACATCCCGTTGCAGCATTTCATCGCACTCGTCGATCAGACTGATGTCCTCAGTGACATGCGTGTTGGGCCTGTTAGGCATTTCTTGCACGGAAAAGAAAAGGCTGAAAACCTCCCCCCTAAGCCCCTTCGTGGACCTTTGGATTTCTGCTCTTCATCTTCCAGCATTCAACCCTTAGCCTCTTGGCAACATGTCTTGCTCACAGTGGCACAGAAGAATAAGCTACTAAGCATTTCAACCTTCCTAGACCCCTCTGCACTGGCAAGCATCGATGTCCTGCTTGCTTCGATACGCTTTGGCAAAGACCTTCAACTGCGCCTGTCCGGTCAGAAGTATCACCTTTCACTAACTGTTCGATCGGTCTGCGACCAGGTCGTATTCCGAGGTCCCTGGACATTTTAGCAATTGGCACCAAGAAGGAAACAATCCTAGGCTTGGATGGATGACTCTTTGCTTAGTCTTGGCCTGTGTGTCGCCATTGTCAACAAAGATGGCAAAATGTCTTTTAGTATTTCTCAGTTGCTGTGCCTCAAATACAATGCCCCGTCTTCATGGAAGAAAACACAAGAAGAATTGACCTGAAACCGAGCTCCGCACGTCATTAAGCAAGAAAACAAACAAACAAACAAACAGACAAACAAACAAACAAACTGGCAGCACTTGAAGTGTGCAGGTTGCTCGGCCATTTCTTTCTATCGGACCAAGGGTCCCGCCATGTCAAAAACGGGTGCCGCTTTGCGTTTCGTCCCTTGTGCGGTCCGTTCTCTTCAGTCCTTCTCCGTGCCTTGCAGTTCCTCACCACACAACCTCAAGGAGGCACGGAGGGTCACCGGAACGGTGGTGGAACGGTCTGAGGTCGTGACCGAACGGAGGAACGGTCTCCGACCCCGGTTGGTAGAACTGACTCTGAGTAAATCCCAAACACTGAGATTGGTTGGTCACGGTTGGTCGGTTGGTCCCCCTATCAAACGCACATCTATGTCCATAGATGTAGGTGAATTCCGTCGCCAAAAGGCCCTGTGTCTTCACGTCGAAGCCAAAGATGTCTGCCATGCGCGCAACGTAGTTGGGCGAAATCAAGGGGTCCTTGGGAGAATCGATCCAAGAACGCAGGAACATACTTTCCACCACTCGAGATACTGTACACCAAACTAACCGAAGAATAGGAATACTTGCTCGATACTAAGATGTTCGGGCTCCTGCTCCTGTTTCACCTGGGTTCGGTTTTGCTTCTAAAGTGGGCTTTGGAATGTGTAAAAAGCATATCACAAATCTCTGCAACCCTCTTCCTTCAAGTGATTCACACTCAGAAGGCCTTTGAAACTCTCAACGCAACCACACTTACACTTTTCGCCTGAATCGATCCAAACCCACCAACCCTCTGAGAAAAAGCTCGAAAAAAAATACAAGCAACACTGCAACACTTGAAAAGTCCTTTAGCCCACCCAGCACGCCCAAGAAAGTAAACGTTAAACACCTCCCCAGAAACGCCCCACGCAGCCGCACAGGACGCCGCGCGTTTCACCCCAAACAAATCGGCCCCAGTCCAGGTGGCGTGGTCATGCTCCGCTTCGATGCGCGTCGCCTCATAGCTCCAGAGGAGTCGATTGCAGCGCACCTCCGCGTCCATCGGGTTCCAGGGCGGGCCGGCAGCCGCTGCCGGGGCGGACAGTGACGGTGTTGGGGCGGTGCGACAAAAGACCGGGGCAGCGGGAGAGATGGACTCGGAACTCCACAAAAAGCCTTTACTTTAAGCAGATGACCCAGGTTAGACTTATTGTTGGATAGGATTCAACGGTTTCCATGTTAGAACTGGGAGTCAACATTGGGGTCTCTCCTTTTATAAGACACACGCAACAGCGCTTGTGAAAAGCACTCACACCGGCGCAAGTTTTGAGAGACATTCAAATTAGCAGCCATTCTGACATTTCTGCAGTTTGGGAAAGTTCATAACCAATTGGCATCAATTGGCCATAGGCAGTTGAACTGTTGTCCTGAATGGCACCGAAGCTACACCCTGGCCTGCATGACTTCTTCCTTCGAAGCTTGTCGGCAAAAGTCTCTCAGCTGCCGAAAGTAGTCATAGAACGGATGCTTCCACGTCACCTGCCATGGTCGCCCGAGACCCCAGAGGTGGCGAACATGGCGACGAGCACGGTCGGCGGCGGTCCGGGTCGGTCGGCTGAAGAAGCTCCTCCCACTTGACGCGTCGGCTGAAGCATCGAAGATGCCTTTGCAGAAGCCCATCCAAAGGACACAAACTTCGAAACAGTCCCAAACGTCCCTCGTACGTGGCTCAAAGCCCACAGGTGCTCTTCCGGAAGGTTTTGGGGGGAAGGGTCATTGGTGGGATCGTCCGGGACATGGGGGTTGGCCAGACTTCACTTGACCACTTCAACCTCATGACCCTGTGCTTTCCGGCCTGGCCAGTATCGGAGCGCAGGTAGCACACGATGCTGCCAATGCCCTGCAAGCACTCCGAGTACCGACGGTGTGTGTCTCTTCAAGAGCGAACATCGCCTTGTACTTCATGCGAGGGATCATGGAGTCATGGTCGTCCAAATACGTCACCATACCTCACCTCTACCCAGTCCGAGTCCAGCCCAGACATGCTGACAGGGCTGCAAGAAAGGACTGTTGGTCATACGGTTGAACAAAACAATCTGAATCAAGTGTTTCTATGGCAAAATCGACGATCAAACCGCAGTGCAATAAATTCAACTCTGTCTCAATCTAGCTGGAGTACGACTCTTGAACAAGCTGTCAAACCTTCTGGTTCCACCAGTCCAAAACCCAATCATTTATTGGGGGTGTAGTAGCAGATAGGGAGACCTACAATCAGTGGTGTTTTACGCTCTATATAGTCATCTTTTGTCATCTTTAGTCCATTCATCCGGGTGGTCACCAGGGGTTCTCCCTAGTCCGACACATCTTGCTGTACTCACATTCTGGTCTCTGTCTTATCTTATCTGCTAAGCCTGGTAGCAGGTCTCGCCTTGTAGCAAGTCCAAGGTTTTGGAAGCTCAGTCTCCATCATCGCACGCACCAGCCAAAGCATCTTTTCATCTTTGGGCTCAATGCGGAGGTAGTACGCCCATTCCTCTCGACAAAAGCACCAGTGGGGTTTGGCCACGAGACACAACGTCAACTTCAGGATCACGGACCACTTTGAGTCAGTTCCTTCATGCAGCTTGAAGCTTTTGGTTGCTGGTCTGCTAGCCACAGGATGCTTAGCTAGAACCATCTTCTCCCCATCTTCTTTCCAGGCTCTCAAAAAGCTACACCACCTGTGCCTCCAGGGTAGGAACATTGTCGCACATCAGCGCAGGAAACTTGTCCAACTTCACCAGCGCCTCACCATGTGCACCGAAGTGGGTTTCTCATAGATGTCTTTCTTGAAAGTGGACCGGCGTGGAGGAGGATTCCGAAAGCAGCCGAAACCAATGTTACTTGGTATGTCACAAAAACATGAAGATACATGGCTATTGATTGATCGAAACAAACAACCCGAAAAGACCATTGCTATAGATCTCTTGTTTTCGGGTCTCAACTGTTCTCTTGCCTCCGAGTCTTGACATACAGCAACCTTTCCACAAAAACCTTCACGCTAGAAACTTCACAGCAACCGCCTCACAGTCTGCATCATGTCTCAACAAAGCGTTGCATTTACCAGTCATTGTTTTTCACATAGACATCGGCCATCAAGCCTTCGAACTCACCCGAACCCAGCGAGCCCGGGGGTTTCAGGGCCCTGGTCCACTCCCAACGCAACGGGGCTCCGCTCCACTCCTGCTGTGTGAGCGGATCATCAATTCCAAAGAGGACAAAGGGATCGGCGTCCAAGTACTCCAGAGTCTCCTGGGCTCCACGGAGCCTACCCTATGACTCATGTGAGGCCATGGATGTTTGAGTCGGAAAAATGGCACCAACAGGAGCAGCTAAAAGAAAACTTGACTGTCATTTCTCTCCAGGACTTCCTCCAAATCATGTGAAGTCCCATGTGACATGGGCCTTCTGAACCCCCGCTAGCTAGGTCCCACTGGTCCAACAGGTCCCACCGGTCCCTGCTCCTCGCTCAAGATCGCACGCTTCTCGAAGTAGGACAGCACCAAGGTCCAAAGGTCATCTAAATCCTACGACGAGTTCATCGCAGCTTCGGAAAGGAGGATCTCGATCAGACAACGGGCCGGGCTACTCGTGAAGAATGGAGGGCAAAGACCTGGTGGCCCATCTTGATGGCAAGGTATATCAAAAGATTTCCAAAACCTGCTCACTTCGTCTCCTAAATCTGAGACACCTCTCTAAGTGTCAGAGCCTGCCGACTACCAGGGGCTCGCTCATTCGCAGCTTGTGGCTCCAAAGCATCGGCCCAGCCGGACAGGTCTCAGAGAGACTGGTCTCGAGTGCGGCACCCCACACCAGACCATCTCATCACAGATTTCCGGGTTCACTCTTTCTCAAAGTAGGTCAACGTGACCATCCAAGTCACACAAAACAAGAACCTGAAGATCACAGGGCTGAGAATGCAATTGGCGGGTTTAACTCGGCAAACATCATCTCCTTGTACCAGCCATCGCTCATGCTGTCCAGTGGTGGTATCACCTGCCCCGCAGTGCACGGCCCAATGCAGTGCATGGCAGTACTCTGACCGCTCCTCCATATTCTGTACACAAGACAACTTCAAAAAGCCAGCTTTGCATTCCCAAACTCTTTTGCACACAGCATGTTTCCTCACACGGCCTCCTTGTCTGCCTTCCAGCTGATCTGGAATTGGGGCCCCACTGGCTTTCCATCTTCCTTGGTCCAAAACAAACCCGTCCAAGCCACGCGAAACATTCCTAGCAAGTCACCTCTGAGCAACACGAGTCACTCCGGATTCTAAAGGGCGAGACCAGGTCGCCGTGGTGCTATCCATTTGGGGCGACGCAGAGCGTGCCATGCTATACCATGCGCTCTTGATGGAGCGCGGAGTCTCACAAGCCAAGCTTCCTCGAAGTTGTAGCCACCAAAGCGGGTCTCTAAATAGAGAGGTTGGCCCTCGTCCAAAAACCTCTGCTGGGCACTGCGGTGGGTGGCACGCGTGGATGGGTCCATCCTGTGGATCGTCTGGGTGGCGGATCAATGGGGTGATGGATGGCCCATGGATTCATCAGTTCAAAGCCGTATCCAACTCGGTCGCTGGGGGTGCTTGGCTGACTTCTTGCTTCTTCCAGTTCCAAATGACAGAGTGAAGTGGTTGTGCAGCCATGTTTCATAGCCTGGTCATCCTGTCATCAAAGTAGTGCGCTTGGTTGGGATTCCATGATCAGGCGGGTGCACTGTGAGTGCTTTCGCACCTACACACAACTACACCCGTGCGCTGCTTTGGAAAGGCAAGCTTCATGCAGGAGTAGAAGCCCACTGGGATGCTACCACGCGAAACCTGGCAAGGTTGGTGGGTGTTGTCTCAAAACGTTGAAAAGGATTGTGGAATGACGGAGCAGAAAAACTATCCCAGTTCAGCAACTTTTTGTGCATGCAGAAAATATGAGAAAATTCCAACTTTGTGACGCCGGTCAGTCTGTCAAGATCTGTAAGGGTTCAACGGAACTGTACCTCTACCCTGGGCAAAAAATCGACGTGCAGGATAGCTTGACCAAAATAGGGGAGATGCAACATCTGAGCTTGATGCTTCCCGGTAGTCCTATATTCTCAATTCCTGTTTTTTTTTCCACTTCTTCAAAGGGTCTACAGCAAGTCCTTAAGCAAGTCCTTGGTCGGGATATCTTGATGTGCTGGTTTTCTCCCAGTTCTCTTCACCTTTGAAACTCGCGACGATGGAATCTGCAGCAAAGTTTGCCTGCAAAGTGCGCGCACCTGCAAATTTCACAGAGCTTCAGAAGAGGGATGGACTCCTCCCAAAAAAACGAACCATCGAGTAGCGGCCGCTTCCTGCAAGGCATCCTTTCGTCTCGGTCGATCCCAAATCTCTCTTTCAAGCTCCCAAATCCCTTGGTCGGATGGATGCAGCGGAAACAAAACCAAACGACATCGGTGTCCTCCACGACCCGCGACGTGGTGTCCAACCACCACCTCCACTCCACACCACGCGACTCGTTCGTTCCCTCTCCGCCTTGAGGTCGGCTCTCTGATGCAAGTAGCTGTAGAGCTTCGCCTCGCCGTTTGCACGCGTTCGCGTTCGCGTCGCGTTCGCGTCGCGTTCGCGTTCGCGTTCGCGGCTTTCGCGCTCGCGCGCGCCCAAGGCCGCTGGCATTGTGCCTTGCCTTCGGAACGAAAATGGTACACACTCTGGAAAAAACGGCTCCTCTATGTTTTGTGTCATGACACACAGAGCAAACCCCACGCTTTTGCAAAGAAGATGGAGAAGAAGAACGTCGTTCGACGCGAAATCGCCACGTCGTCGACGTAAATCGTCATGTCTTCAGGGCGAGGGCGAAAAAACCCCGCCTCATCGTCGGTCGGTGCCTTTCGCGTGGTCCCGAAGCGGATCACCTTGTGCCTTGGGCTTCAAGACTACAAGACAACATAAGACAACCTCATAGCAGCGTTCAGCTTATGAAAAAAAAAGGAACACATGGTTCCCTCTTAGCAGAAAGTTCCACACAAGGGCTAGCTTCAGAGTTCGATTGACAAACAAGGGAAGGGATGCCAGGCAAGGGATGCCTCTGGCCTACTTCTTTACACAACACTAGGAGCAAATCACGAGCACTAGAAGACAACAGCACATTGACAAAATGTCCTTCTTACATCTCTATCCTCCTGGTCTCAGAAAGATCACCCCCCACACACAAAAATACAGAACACCAACAACTTCTGGCTTCTGAGTCCAAATTCTCCTCTCTTTCACCCCTTCCGGGGGGCATTTCGTTTTCACATCGACCCCTCCACGGCCGCCACGGCCTCCAAAGCCCATGGATCAAGAATCGACCCCGTCGCCAGGCCACTTGGCGAGAATCTCCGTCTTCGGGATGTGCGCATTGATGGTCGGCTTCGCGGCCGCCATGGCGTTTTCGGGGAAGAACCGGTCTCGGAGGCTGAACGGTCCAGGTCCACAGCAGAAAGCTGTTGGTTGAGGGTGGGCAGGTGGCTGGGGTGGGTGATGGGTGCTTGAAGCAGGCTGCACAAAGTCTGGAGCCGACTCCTTGTTTGAACGAAAACGTCTAGCTCGCTTCCGTTTCTGTTGCCGACATTTGTGCCAAATACGATCAACCTACAACTTGAGTTGAAAGTGGCCACGAATGACGTGTGGAGAAGCAATCGTACCGGCATTCCCAGACGGTCGCTTTCACACAACGGAGCCGGCAGAGTCTGATCGAATTCACCAATCTGAAACAGTGGGATTTTTCCGCGATTTGATGCCTCGGACGATCAAAGTCATGGCTCGGTCGATGCAATGCTCGGTTGAAATGTCTCGGCATCGCAAAGCCTCATTCCACAAGGTGGTCTGCGGCCGAAGCAAGTGTTTCCATCGGCCTCCGATTGGTTTTTTCACCGCGCCTCAATGGCATATTCCCGCCCCTCCAGCGTGACAGAGGGCAGTCCCTGCACCTGGTGAAAGACCCGAGTTTGGCCGCTTCAGGAGTCCTGAAAAGGGTTAGAAAGATAGAGAAGGAAGCATTTTGGAGTAAACTATGGTGGACCTGGCTAAAGCTGGGCCACCATGGCTGGATTCCGCAAGTGGCTCCAGTTACAGTACGCATCTTGACTCTCGAAATCACACATGCGGAACATGGATCAAGCTGGACCGTTTGGCAGACAGTTCCAAGGGTGTCTCCCCTCTCAGTGCCAACCTCCCAGGCGGATTTGCCATAGCCATTCATGCTGACCCCGTTTTCCAAGACGTACGTGAAGTTGTAGTAGCCTGCACCAGCTGCTCAGCTGTCACGTGGCGTCCCAGCGTCTCGTGTGCCGGTGGAGGGGACGGACGTTGGAACAAGATCCATTCCACATGTGGCCGAACAGCGTGATGACACACACTGAAAGCTACGTTAGGCAGGATCTCTTGGATATATCACCTGCTCTGCTTCCGCTCCTTCTCCCTCTGGCTCCCTCTGGCTCCCTCGCTCACTCGCTCCCTCGCTCCCCGCCCTTCTCTCTCTCTCTCTCTCTCGCTCTCTCATGTTCTCCGTTGCCTGCCGGGGTTCCAGCGGACACTTCACACACCTGCAAGTTTGCAGCACCATGGTCATGCTGTTGTGTGTTACACATACCAGCATGTAGCAAGGTGTTGGTATGGGCCCAGTATGGGCCCGGTTCTTTCTCTGTGACGATAGACCAACAGCTACAACCTTTACACAGGAGAGCATCAAAAATATGGTCTTCTTCAAAATCCCAACACAAAGTACGCTTGGCACGGCAAGCGTGAAAGCATGGGTGTTCCCTTTTGGGCCGATGATTTCAGGATCCTTTTCTTCTCGAGTGGATCGATCATTACTTCATTGAGGAGTGCTGAACAACAACTCAACTGTCTGATCTCTACGTGTAGACCGACCGGACCCAACCGGACCGACCGAAACGGAGAGCGCAATCGGGGCTTCCCGGACCCCATCGTTCACCGTCTTCGTCTCCAGGATGTCGCAGCGGTACTCATCGCGCCCAGCTGGCAGGCGGAGGTGAGATGTGGTGGAACGGGGAGGTGAGATGTGGCTTTTGGCCTCAGAAAAGGAAAGGAAAAGGAGGTTGCCAATGGATAGTTAAGTTCTGCCCCCTACAGTCGCAGATTTATATACTAACAACCGACTGAATCTTGCCGGTTCAATAGCTTTGCTGCTGGTTGGACTCTTGGCAGTGCATGAGTCTGTTAGAGTCATGGTAAATCAAAGGAGTCATGGCCATATCCGCTGCCAGTCTCACCCTATCCGCTGCCAGTCTCAACAGCTCTTGGTCTGTCGAGCATGTCGAGCCTTTGTCTGCCAGGATTTCCTCTCCTGTGCCCAAGTAGGCGTGCATAATCTCGGTGGCATTGCGTTTCTCACCTGGCCAAGAGAACAAGAGATGACAAAGAACAAAGGAATACCAAAGAGGAACCCAACAAACACAATTTAGCAAGAAGAAGCAATAAATGGAGTTCAATCAAAAAACCTAGTTCTTGCTTTTCGACCTCAAAAAGCTGCTAAAGAACCAAGGCTAATGACTACATGCTTGGCCATGTTTCCAAAAAGTCCAATTAGAATTGTCAACGATTCCAAGAGCTTGTGAACGCAATTGGGAGAACAGCAAGTGTTTGGCATGAACGAAATGAAGAGGTTTAGTGGTGCACTGGCCATGTCGCTTTTTGGTCGTTCGGAACTGGACCAAGGAACCAGCGGGCCACCGAGGTGGAAAGCATGTTGGATGATCACCATCTGGACCCAGCGAGGCTTGTATTTTGCGGATCAATATCAACTCCAGCCAAGCCCAGTCGTCCAAAGTCCAAACCCTTTGAAGGAAGCTGAGCTTCATGAATGCTGAATGCTCACTCTGCCAAGCCCCCAGCAACGGTCCATCTTCACAAACCACACCACAACACCCAACGTGTGGGTGTTAAACCATGCACGGTTTCCACACATGGAAATTCACCTGTATCTTCAAAGATGTCGCGCATATTCAACTCCAGCATCTTCTTCAAGTCTCCATGCCAGGTGACCTCACCACAGACCAGCTACCCGGGTTCCCTTATGGCTTGGATCGCTGGAAGAGATCTCGGGACGTCGAAGCGAACGGAGTCGACCGGGCGTACCGGGCGAACGGACCGGCATGGGGTCAATCGGATGAGAAAGATAGGAGGGGGGCACATGGGCACCCTGTGTGGAGACCCAATCAGGGTGTTCGGATCACGGTGAAGACAAGACTCAAAGGCACTCCAGCGGGTGTTCGGAAAAGAAAGGAAACACCCCTTGCCACACCAAGAATGAGTTGAGGATGGGAGCAAGCAGCACAGCCTGCAAGGTAATTGACCCCAAATGCATGGGGTCTCAATGTACCAATTTTCTCAGAATGTGCAAGGGCGAATATGAGGAGATGGCCCCAAAATGGAGGAATATCTAGTCCAATGCCTTGATGCACTCAGGGGACTTCCTTTTCAAGATGAAGCGTCCTATATTCTGTCAACTTCAGGACTGCAGTGGTTGTGAAGAACATCTTCAGCTCTGCCTGCCAAGCCAAGAAGATCTTCAGTCCAAAACTGCCTGGATAACCAGAATCAGCAGCCCACTGCAAACTTGGAGCTTCGAGAGTCTTGGATTGGATGTCGGGGGCACCTTTGGGATATGTGTTAAGATATGTCGAACGTGAAGGTTCGCCAATGCAAGCACCCATCGGTGCTTGCATTTGGGAGCTGAAAAAAAACAGCAGGACAACGGTTCCTTGAAAATTGTTCATCTTTAAACAAAACATCTGGACACGAACCTCACCTCCCATTCTCTGAAGCAAGTCTAGGCGTTCCAACATTGCTGATAATAGCTGCAGCTCTCGAGATGGATGAGACCACTGGAGTGAACCTGACACAAAGACTTGCTCCGGTTCAGCCGCAAAGCTCTCGGCTTGGCGGCAAGGCAAGACGCCACGAAATCACAAGAAGAACGCCAATAGTTGCCACATCCGTCATCTTGCACAGAAGTTGAGACGTGCCAAGAGGTCCTACAAACCTCTTACGTAAGTACGAGAACACGAAAAGGATTCGGGACCTGCGGCTCCACCTGTGGTGTCCAGTCACCAATACCAATGTCTTCAGTCCATACAACCGCAACTATGAACCCCAGGCCTCCCCTTCCAAGGCAGCACCCTCATCCTTTCCGCAACCCTGAAATCGCCCCCCCATGTGCCCCTAAACCTCGGGGCGGGGACCAAAGAACTCCAGGCGTGACATCTGCCCCATCTGGCCCCATCTCGTTTCTCATGACTCTCATGACTCTCGTTTCGGTTCCTCTCGTCGAAGCCGCCTATGATTGGTCCTGAACTTTCCATCTCGAAGCTGAGCCCGATGACCTGGCCAATCGGCAGTACAGACTCGACTTGGCAGAAGGAGACTCGCGCCAGCGAGACAAACGCGCATGGTGCGGGACGGGGCGAGTCTTCGCCGGGTAAGACGGTCGAAGGCGCCGGGTTTATCCGAGCGGAGGAGGAGAACGGGGGGGGGAGAACGGGAACAGCCTGGAGGAATTGGAAGAGGACATGGTGGGGGGATCCTATACACAGCGGATGACGCGGATGATGACATGGTGGGGGAACGACCTTACTCAGCACAGTGAACTAATTGCCATCCAAACTCGCCACTCGAAATGGCTGTTTTTCACACTTTTTTTCGGAGGCGATGTTCAGAGCCATTGTTGTCCAAGTCCATGCTGAATTGTCTGGGGCTTTGCAAGTGATTGTATGAGTCATACATCCAAACAGCGACTACCGAAGACAATCGAGCTGCTGCTGAGGCTGAGGTATAGAATACCATGGTCTGATTCCCCTGATCGAGGACAGGCAGACCACTGGATTCCACCTGTGACGTGGCCTTATTTCGTTTGTAGCGCCCCCGCAACCAGGACCTGTGCGGATCGCTGCAAACCCGAAAAAACGAATGCTTGCCTGATGTGAAGACCACCTCGACCTCATGCCAGCCTGCAACAGCGGGTCGAGTGCTTTTTCAGCAGGGGTCGAGTGCGCTCCAAGCAGGGGCGGAGTGCTTGGATGATCGGCGACAGGTTGGCCCTTTTGGGATCGTTTTTGGCAGTTATTGCTGATCCAACGGATCCAAGGGCCCTGCTCAGCACTGTGTTGAAAGTTCCATCTCACTCTTGACTTAGTGGTCTAAGGCCAAGGCTGTTGGGAATAGCGACGACTGCAAAGGCCAACAGCGTAAACAAATGCTTTGGGTGGTACCCTCAGCGTGCATTATTTTTGGAAGGGCCCTTCACTCCGGTCAAAGGCTTGTCATTTCCGTTATCTCCAGCTGGCAGCAGCTTTGTCTCTCTCCAGCCTGAATCCAACGCCGGAGTAAAAGCTGTAAGCTCCCCATCCTGTTGGCAGTCGGAGGTAAATCTCCGCTACAATTTTGTCACGTTTCAATCCATGTCTTACATGTCTTCACATGTCCACATGTCTACTGACAAGGTTCTTAAATGTTCTTAAGGCGTGGCAAAAATGTTACATACAATCTTTGGCCTGCTCAGTCTTTCTGAAAACAGGCCACCACAAGAACATCCATCCGATTCGACCGGTCGCGGCCAGTGTTTGTCAAAAACAAAAATCAAACAACTCTGATCTCCCTGAGATGGAAGCGGAGGTGCAGTTCATCCCCTGGATGCATAATAAAGGATGTCTTCCTTTCGGGACCAGGCCATTAGTCCCAACAGCTAAGAATAGGCGCGGCATGTCTCAAATCCATAGTCATAGAGACTCCAGGCTCACAAGTGACAGGGTTCTACGGCACCACTTTTTTTGAAGAAATATACACATGGAGAAAAGTAACAATATAAAAAATATATATATATAAATCTAAAGAGAGAAAGCATCACGAAATTCAAGCGAATTGGCAAAAGTTTGGAAAAGCAGAGACTTTGAGAGGCAAGTATGCACCAATGATAAAATTTGTTTAACGCGATGGATGAAACTAAGGATTCCTGCAAATACCCACAGAAAAGCTCCAAGTACCACTTCACAACCTCACCAAACACCACACACCACGTCAAAAAATCCCTACACTCATTTCATCACATCACAAATTTCCACAGTCCCTTCTTCGTGTGACAAATCACGCACCGCATCACCACACGTCAAGTCATTGTATCACACAGAATCACACCACATAACTGACCTCATCACACACCACATATCACCCTGACCACATCACATCACAAATCAATACATATCACATCATATCACATTAGCATTAGCATCACATCATGAATCATTCAGCATCCCTTACAAGCTGCGCTGCACATCACAAATATAAACAACACTCCTTGCAGTTTCATCTTGTGAAACTTCCATCCACCCGCCTGGCCCCCCCTACCAAGCGTATTGGCGATGTGCGGCCGGTGCAGTTGACTTAAATCCACCCACCTTAGTCATCTGCTCGAGGATGTGGCAAGGCTTTCCACCGACAAGGACCTGCCGGATGGCTTCTGATGCTGCACACAACCATGGTCTGAACACGGCACGTCTCTTTGTGGGTCTTCCCTGCAACGACCATGGTCTGGTCCAGAAAAGGATAGCTTGAACTCTTTCCGAAGCACCTCCACCTGCCCTGTCTTTGAGTTTTTTTCTTCGAAAGGACTGTTGAGCCAATGCCAGAGTGCCTGCGTGACATAGGCGAAGCCAGCACCTGCGACATGAATTTCAGTGCCACCTGCCGTAGAGCCTTGCATTGGCTCAACCTGCAGAGGTGCTTCGAAACAAGGACACGCCAACCAGCGTCTCTTTCGTTCATCACGCAGCGAGTAGGGCTATGCTCCACACAAGCGATATGATGAAAACGATCTTCCAAATTCCTACTCAGCAAGATCGTCCTTTTTCTATTTCATTCTACTCCTACCCAGAGGTCACCACAAAAAAAAGAAGAAAAGGTTCCCTTTTTCATGCTGTACTCCTATCAAAATGACCGTCAAAACGACCGACACCCTTCCCTGTGGACTGTGGACGTCCCCCCTGTCCCTGTCCCGTCACTCCACCACGCATCTCCGGCATCTCCGACGCCCACCGTCACAACCGGCTCCGCCGTCACTCGCGTCAGGCGCCCGGGCGCTGAACACGATGCCGAATCCCTTGACCTCAGCGTGCATCCCTCGGATCCCTCAGTGATCCCTCGGTGAGAAGATCAGTGATCTCGGCCCGTGTTCTTTGGGGACGAAAAAGAACACGCGAGCCAGGACAATTTGTAGAGACTTTCCCCAAAGTTTGGAGGAGCGATGCTTTTCGCAAAGCGGAAGAACACGGCTGGAGTTGGCAGTTTACTATTAACCAGAGTGTGGTGTCTGCAAACGCAATGAGGTAGAAAAGGTCCCAACCAAGGGGCTGCCATGTATATATATATATATATGTGTGTGTGTTTCCTAATGACCCTGTTTATCCTTTCCATTGTGGATAAGGTCCTGATCAAGGCATCCTTCGATGTTGATGATTTCAGTCTGATGCTCTTCGATTTGAGTCGAGATGTTTTTCCATATATGAGGACTTTATCAACTGTAAAATAGACTCTAAAAATGCACTGTGTCCAAGTACCAAAAGAAACACCTCACTAACCTTTTTAACAGTAAAGTGTCATCGGCAGTGAAAACAACTGTCACTAACGATGGAGGCAAACAAATAATATATACTGTAAGTAATTTACTTGATTCACAAAGGGATAACAGTCTTCAGAGCATCCCAACAAGTCTTTTACGGCTAACGAAGTATCGTGAAGTGTTCAGATTTCCCCACTGACCGGAAAAGTTGGTGTGAAGGTTCATCTTTGCTCCAAACCACACCTATCAAGTCCAACATCCAACTCACCTCTGTGTAGGTTCCCCAACTCCGGCAGCAACCAGCGGAGCCAAGAGCATGAAAGTGGTGATGAACAACATGCCTGCGCTGTGTTTGCAAGAAAAATTGTTTAGGTGCTTGAAAACAACAGACTCTCAATCCCGCATCTCCAATAGAAACAAATATGTAAAAGAAACAAAAAAACAAAAGAAACATTTGTTTTGAAAAGAGAAACAAAACTGGTTCAACCGGTCTTCCAACAAATCTATCTGACGGATCAGCAACTCAAGCCGATCCAACTGGCCCAATCCGGCCTCCACATAGGTGAATCTACGAGTATGTCATTCGGTCACCCAGTATAACACGTCTTTCCAGAGCTGAAAATTTCCCGGCCTCCACCAGGCAGCATCATCACCTGCAAAACATGTGTTTTGACTTGGCCAACCTGATGTGGTCATGTTGCAATTGCAAAACAAAACACCATCACAAAGAAAAAGGCACGGCCGGGCTGGGATCTGCCCACACTTCGCCTGCCTGCTGCCGAGGAGTTGCCCTCCCAAAGGCGGTCTTGGCCCCAACCAAAAAAAACGGGAGAGACAACGCCAACCGGCGGACTATAAGCCAAATGCAGCGTATCGTTGCCATAGATGGTCACACCCACCAATCACGCAGCATACATCAAACTGAACGCTTTGGTGTTTTTCACAGAAAAACACATGTTGGGAATGTAAGAATTAAATTGTTCAAGCACTGTGTTGACATGTTTGGTTTACTTTGGTTAGTTTCTCACAAGCCTTTGTATGTCAATCCATCCGAATCCCAAGCAAAGCCTTAAGGTGGGCCGGTCTTTACCAAAGTGCCCCCACATGCAACTCTCAGACCGATCATTGCATGACCAACGTCAATGAAATGGCCACTTCCAAACCAAAGGCCGAATCGAACAAGTCAACAACATGCTCACTAATTCCCCCGACAATGTGGTCACACTGGTACTCACAATATGTGTTAGCACTGGGTGTCTGATTGAGGTGCTCCCTCGGCAGCAAGTTCGCTTCTATTACACTCGCGCTTCAAAGTGCGTTTCGACTGCGCACGCTTAGGCGCTTACCTCGACTGCGCTCTCGTTGTGGTGCTGTGCACATTTTCGGACTTGGTAGTCACTGTCGAGACTGTAGAACGGTTTTACTTCGATGCTCAGATTCCGTGGCGGGCGCAGTACTTTGGACATGGTGGCGGGCCTGATTTCGTGGCAAATGCTGTGAATCGCAAGCTTTGGACATGTGGTTCGTGGTTCAAAAGTCGGAGGAAGTCTGAAGCGAAAGCTGCGTTTTGGTATCTTGATGTTGTCTTTGGAAGTGCTCTTGCTGCGAAACATGTCTTCTTGCGTCATCACATCAGGGACAGCGTTAATAAAAACTTATATTGTGTTGAGTTGCCTCAAACTGGAACCACAAAGAGGACATTGACGTTCAAATGTGGCAGCAAAGCGAAGTTGATATGCTTTGGGCAACCAGAGAGCAACTTCATCCATGACTCTTGACAGGTTCTATTAAGTCAATGCTGGAGCAAGGTGTTCATTCCGCCTTGCTGCGGGACAGCGTGTCCGCCTTCCGTCCAAAATCCCCGTGTAAACTGGGATGTCCTCACATTGGGAAAAGAATTGTTAACTGTTCTTTTTTCATTGCTGCAGACCTCTGAAATAAGGCCATCAAACAAGCCAAGAAGAGGGGGATAGTTGCTGATGATGGGTGAAGCGAGGCCATGAAGGGGAACGCCAAACTTATCCACATGGCTCACATCGTCCAAAATGACAAAGTGATGATATAAATGAAACGGTTCCAAGGATCCCATCAAACTGACAAAATAATCGATATTTGGGCTCAAGCAGCGCAACACATTTGAAGTAATCATGCAATGATCAAAGCAAAACCAAAGACAGTAGCTTGGGCTACTGCTTCAGCAGAATGCCCAGGACAGGCGCTTTTGAAAAAAAAAAGAGGCGCAGATTTTTTTTGCACGGGTGAGGGCGCTGTGTGTGCCGAAAGGCACAAGTCACCTTAAATGAATTCGAGAAGACAGATGAGAGGATACGAGCCGTAAAAGCCGAGACGACCCAAACCAGAACACCAAAACCAAAACAGCCAGACCACAAACCAACCCCCCAAACAGGAAAACCCGAACCAACACTGGCTCATATCTTCTCGTGAAGTGAGGATGTGAAGATCCGGAGATCAACCACAGGTGTGAAACGGGGCGATGAATTCAAAGCTTTGGCTGCTCTCAGTGCAGGAGGACCATCACGTAGCAGGCATCCTGTTTATGAGGCAACGGGTTTTGCAACGATCACTGTGCGGCAGCTTGGTCGTCGATAAACAAGCCTGGATGCAGGTGTGAGGTACTTTCCAAGCCAGCTCTGGAGCCAGGCAAGTCGAAACTTTTGTCCAAGAGTACGACATCGCCTACGTCAGCTTTTGTTTGTTCGGAGTTTTAGCATGACGTAGGGTTTGCGTCAGGTCGAGAGGATTGAGGTAGGCAAATGACCTCTGACTTTGGGGTCACCTCTAATCCAGACTTTCCAGGAAATCGAATTGATAGGTTGACCAAGCACTGTAGTCTCAGCCCCAATCCCAGATTGAGAGGGACCAGGCTCTGCGAGATCGTTGGACGAGCATGCAGACATGCATGCAGATTTTTTTTCCACGAGTACGGACGCCGTGTGGGCATGGTGCCCAGGTCATCGTTGAAGGAAGGGAAGAACAGACAGATGGTGGAGAAAGGAACGAAGGCCCCAAAACCAACCCAAAACCAAACACCCAAGCCCGCAGGCCGAAACTCCACCATCTTGAGTCTTCCCTCTACACTAGGTGAAACGTGTGAAACTGAGACTAGTGGCAATCAGTGGGCCTGAATTCGCAAAAGAAAAGGACTGCAGCGCAAGCTGTGTTCATGGAAAGCCGCCTAGGAGGCTTCAAACGGACTTTCCTTACCAAGTGTTGGTGACCAGCGGCCACACCACAGTGTGGCAAAACAAGGTCACTTTGCAGGTCAGGTGTCTCGCAATGCTCCAGCAGTGGTTGTAATCAGGCCAATCGAATGTGCGAAGATCTAAGCAGCAATCCGTGGAAAAGACCATACTTGCAGCACAACCCGTTCAACCTGTGGCGCATACAAGGCCAGTCACATGCTGCCAGACAGAATTCAAATACGGCGGCAATTCCTTGCGAGAGAAGCCTGCAGCTAAGGGTGAACCGGGCACCATCTCCCCGTGGCGAGGCAGATCCAACACCCTTCGGCACTCAAAGGTGCCAAAAGGGGATGTCACTTGAGTCTGTGAGGCGCTGCGTAATGGCAAAAAGTGAGAGGTGCGTGCAAGGCCCGTGTGAAACCTGTGAAACATTGAGCTCTCCTAGCATGATATCTGCACCTCTTTGTACAAAATTGGAAATGTCGGACATCAACTGGTCATCCTTCATTGCCACTGTCTACCACCCGCCGTGTAGGAACGCAGAACGAAGGTTCTCGCTCCTATCGGCTCACTTCGCAGCGGATGGCGAGAAGAGGTCATGGTTCCACTTGGTGTCTGTGCATTTTGCTTGCCGTATATGCCTGGAAATCCTCCTTTTCTACTGCTCGAAAACTGGCACTTGGCTCAGCTCACTGCTCACGTCGCACTTGCTTCTCTCCTGCCTCTGAAGCATAGCTTCGTTGAGGCTGGGTCTAGATAGTTTTCTCGCCAAAGGTCGTTTGTGTCACAGGTCATCGAATGCTATGGTGCCGAAAAAATTGCATCTTGGGGCGACTACAACCCGTAGCATTTGACACCTACACTAGTGTCCGACTACTGTGTCTGGCAGGTGGACGATTTGCAGTTGTCGACATCACCGCCACGCCGAGACCCTTCTCTATC